TTCTCAGTACTCCCGTCGGCGAGGAGCTTTTTGCCAGTGGCGGAATTGGTTTTTCACAACAAGGTTTTCCTTAGCAAATGACTGGCATAAACCTTCGCAAGTCGCACCATAAAAACCCTACATCCTCAACCCTAAACCCTAAACCCTAACTAAACTCTAAGCCCGACTGAGGCCCAAGCGGCTTCGGCGAGGGAGGAAGGGGCCGGGATGAAGCGTCCTGGCCCAGCGGCGTTCAAGGGCTTAGAGCTTAGGTTTTAGGGTTTAGGGTTTAGGGTTTAGGGTTTAGGGTTTAGGGTCTAGGGTCTAGGGTCTAGGGTCCAGGGTTTAGGGTGTAGGGTTTAGGGTTTAGGGTTTAGGTGTAGGGTGGTGCATTGCAGTACAATAATATCTGCAGATCCTAACGAATACTGTCGGCAAATAATTCCCTTCGGCATTCAGCTACTATCAGGGTTCGCTAATGCCCTTGAAGGTTCTATCGGGCTTGACCTACAAGGGCTACTGAAAGGGTTCTTCAACGGGACTATAAGGGTGCGGGTTACTGACAAAAAGATCAGATCGGTGGATAGATGTGCACAAGAAGAAATCGAGCAGGAGAGAGCGATAGAGAGCAAGATAGTGGGAAAATGATCGACAAAGAAACAGAAAGGAGATCAACTCGAACAGATGAATCAATCATCACATCCCGTCCCAAATCTGAACCAGGCAGGCGCACCTCGTCAACCGAACACGGCTAAGGAACGAAAGGGTCAATCCAGACGATGTTTACGTGTCAGGCTGTTTTCAGAGCCCCCATGAACGTATCTGAACGCACATGCCCCACGCCGGAAATCCTTTCGAAATTCCAGAGGCACTAGCAAGGTATACTGTGGCCCCACCCTAAAACCCCTAAACCCTAAACCCTTTTGCCACTAAACCCTACACCATCGACATGAACTGCACTGTCCTGGGGCATCGGAAGGGGCTCTCGAGCAGGAACACTGGGCTCCTGCAAAGGTTTTGGGGTTGAAGCTTCACGGCTCCAACGTGTTGGGGTGTAGGGTTTCGGATGTAGGGTTTCGGGTTTAGGGTTCAGGGTTTCGGGTTTCGGGTGTCGGGTGTAGGGTGTAGGGATGTTGAGGGAGTTAGCTCCTCAAAAGGACGAGTCTGCGAAACAGAAGAGATCTAGGCTCAGCCCCATACAGACCGAAGCGAGTCCCCCCCTTTCCGAAAAGAAAAGATCTAAACGCCTCAGTCGTACGGTTGATGATATAAGTCCTGCATTACCCATAATAAGGAAATATCATAATTCCCATAGTTTAGGGTCCTTAAGGTAGTGCAGGATCTATATCATCAAAAGTAACCTCCCATGCGAGGGTTCTTTCTGTTCGAGACCGCGGGGCTCGTTCAGCTCGACTGTGCATTCACGCGGTAAGCTGGAAAGGCAGAGGGTTTTGATGTAGCCCCAAGGAAGTAGTAAACACTTCTCCGGTCCCTATGAGAATGTAGGGGCCCTAATAAGTAGAATAGGGTGTTGGGGTAGATGATACGATATCTCCTAGAAGGAGCCCCCGAAATAGTATAGGTAATTTTCAGGCCCCTATAACAGGGCTTTCGTGCTCGATCTGTGGACGGGCTTTAGGGTTTAGGGGGTTTGGGTTTAGAGGTTTGGGGTTTTGGGTTTAGGGTCAAGGGGGTTAGGGTTTAGGATTCAGTTTCAGGGCTTTGCTTTAGTTGAGCGTGCAACATTCCATGACAAAGACTGAACTCAAAGCCACAAGAAGGGCTAGACCCTCAACGTAAAGCACTACAGAAATAGCAATTAAACAAAAAAAGCAACCCCCCCCCCTAAACCCTATAGACCCTAAACCCCCAAACCCTAAACCCTAAACCTAAACCCCCAAAAAAAACAG